TAACTGCTTTACAATGACAATTTAAACAAATCTAGTTCCTGACCTGTAGCATGTTAACACTACTGGAAGGAAAAATAACTTGAACTCCAATTTTGAAAACACAACTTTCTTTCTTTTTTTAAAAAATAAAGCTCTGACTTGTATGAGTCTGTGGTCTGGGAGAGAGTCTGTAACTCTGTCTGCAACATACAGTAAATAATGAGCAATGTTGGGCAATTAATTATATAGTTACTTCTTCAAAGAAGTTACTGAGTCATGCAAACAACAAAGTGTTTTGCAGCTGTTTACCTAAAAATGCAGCCAAGGTGTTTTTTAAACAAACATTTCAAACTATTTACAGAACAATCAGCTGTTCTGCATCAAATCTGATGCCACACAGATTATTTGTGCCGCTCCAAAAAATAATTTCTGTCCACTATGAGATGAAGGAGAACAACAGCCTGATACCTGCAGGCCTGACAGCAGCAGATGTGTCACTGCTGTAACACCTGTAACACTCAGCAGTCGCCTCATTGTTCTGACACACACAACAAAACTATTGACTAGACACGAACTACACACTGACTACACACTAACTACACACTAACTACACACTAACTACACAAGATTTGTGCTAAACGTCTCAAATCTCTCACATCTCAAAACACGCCGTCACTCCTAAAACTTCCCCCTCCCTAAACAACTAAATACCATGTTGCCTTATCATTTTTTGATTGGTCCACGTGGTACATTTTTCCACCAATAGGAAAGGCTGGGCGGGGGTTTGGTTTCCAAATATAAACAGCGACAGTATTCAGGAAGAAAAACAAACATTGCAGATATTTTATCATAACTCTGGTTTTACGTGGCCGATCAACACAATTTAAAAACTGGTATAAAGTCCACACTTTTCCCGTCAGTTGTTCCGTCTGTCCTGCTCACATCTCCAATGGTTGTACACGTTGTCATTAACGTGGCTTCACTCCACATCAGCCGCTTTGCTAAAACACCGGTGTCGCACATAAGGACGCTGTCACAGCCTGTCAACGACGTTGATTAGCTGCGTCTGTGGGATAAGATGGCATCTTTCTAATCCCATACAGGAGCAGCCAGTCACTCACTGACTAACACTGCAAAACACGATTGTTAAAGTTTTAATGTTAATTTCAATTCAGGTCAGATTTTGTTTGTGCGCAACGCAGATTCTCTGTGCGCAGAGACGTGCCAGCAGTGCGCTATTGCCCGCAGTTTTTACAGCTGTGGCTCCAGCAAACATCAGCTGATACTAGAAATTAATATTAAATAAATTCTAACAACAGCTGATCAAGCTAAAACGTGCTGCTGTTGTTTAGCGCGACATCCGCTGGTTTCCTCTTTCTGGCGCAAAGTGGGCGATAAACAAACAAGAGAGAAAAGCCGATCAGCTGATCATTGATCAGTTTCATGATTGAAGTAGCAACAGGAGAACTGCGGTCAAGTGAGCCCTCACTTACGAAGTCACAGTCAAGCTAGCCGCCCCGCCAGCCGCACCGAGAATGTGGTTGCACTACTCTTACGCATATTACGGTATCGGTGCCGACTGGTTTAGAAACGCAGTGTTTTCTGTCCTGACACTATTTTACTTCACAATCCACTCCCAGTTTTGGTTTATCTCCACTTTCCCCCCTGTGATCCACAGCCCAAATTACTGTATGATTCAGAGAAAATTAACAATAAAATTTACCCAATTTACTCAACTGTACTCTTAATATTCTCATCTTTGAGCTCAGATTACAGGAAAACTGTAAGAGGTGACGCAGATATTTTACTGGATTATGACTCTGGGCCATCTCCACTCTTCACCCTGTGATCCACAGCCAAATATACTGTACGGTTTCTGAGATTGCTGTGTTGACAGAGTATGATAAAGGCTAAGAAAAATAATGCCTAAAATAATATCAAAGTTATACAACAAATTACAAAATTGCCACATCTGCTGTTATTGCCATGTGTTAGAGCATTATTTAGTCATAGAAAATACATATCATTGTAATATCATCAGTAAAAGAAATACTCCCACTATGTAAGACATGTTTTTAAATTCAGTTAATAAATATTGTTATAAATGTAAATTGTTATAAATATAAATATTGTAATAAATGTAGGACCCTCCAGGGGTTAAAGACATAATGCAAAGCATGTTTGTTTCTTATTGCTTACAAATGTGTTTGCCTTTAACATAATTTACATTTCATTTATACAGTTTCACAGACGAAACAATAAAAGAGGTTTCCTGAACTGTTCTTCATGGCCCAAATTTTGAATCCTTTTGAGGGTGATGCATTATCCAAGAAAGTGGGAAATTTGTTCATTGATGTCTGACCCTCGCTGACTATGACGCCTCCTAATTCTGCTTCCAGCCTTGTTGATTAATTTGTTCTTCCTTTTGGCATCCCTGTCACTGATGCTGTCACCAGTTGTACACAGCATCTCTGTTTGTCCACCAGTCTAATCTGTAATTCAGGTGAACTCAGAATTACATGTATTTTTACAATATGTCTACATTTTTTTTCCTTAAAGTAAATGCAGTCTTGTCATGGTCAGAGTTGCCCACTCATATTTAACTAATTCAAATACAATTACTGCATATCAATGCTTATGTTCTAATAAAAGGCATTGTTTAATACTTCTTCCATGACAACCCAAATAAATCAATGAGAGGGAAACGGGAAGATTAGTAATAAGGCAAGGTTTACTGTTCATTTACCATGCCCTGATAACAGTAAGCTTAACAAAAGAAAAATGTTGGGGACGAGAACCGGGCGGCTGAGCCAGATCAAAGACATTACTAAAACAAAAAGACGCCAACAGCTTCCCTAAAGTGGAAATAAAATAATATGCAAAACAAAAGGCCTGTGTACCTGCTTGACACATACAGTGGGGCAAAAAAGTATTTAGTCAGCCACCGATTGTGCAAGTTCCCCCACTTAAAATGATGACAGAGGTCAGTAATTTGCACCAGAGGTACACTTCAACTGTGAGAGACAGAATGTGAAAAAAAAATCCATGAATCCACATGGTAGGATTTGTAAAGAATTTATTCGTAAATCAGGGTGGAAAATAAGTATTTGGTCAATAACAAAAATACAACTCAATACTTTGTAACATAACCTTTGTTGGCAATAACAGAGGTCAAACGTTTACTATAGGTCTTTACCAGGTTTGCACACACAGTAGCTGGTATTTTGGCCCATTCCTCCATGCAGATCTTCTCGAGAGCAGTGATGTTTTGGGGCTGTCGCCGAGCAACACGGACTTTCAACTCCCGCCACAGATTTTCTATGGGGTTGAGGTCTGGAGACTGGCTAGGCCACTCCAGGACTTTCAAATGCTTCTTACGGAGCCACTCCTTTGTTGCCCGGGCGGTGTGTTTTGGATCATTGTCATGTTGGAAGACCCAGCCTCGTTTCATCTTCAAAGTTCTCACTGATGGAAGGAGGTTTTGGCTCAAAATCTCACGATACATGGCCCCATTCATTCTGTCCTTAACACGGATCAGTCGTCCTGTCCCCTTGGCAGAAAAACAGCCCCATAGCATGATGTTTCCACCCCCATGCTTCACAGTAGGTATGGTGTTCTTGGGATGCAACTCAGTATTCTTCTTCCTCCAAACACGACGAGTTGAGTTTATACCAAAAAGTTCTACTTTGGTTTCATCTGACCACATGACATTCTCCCAATCCTCTGCTGTATCATCCATGTGCTCTCTGGCAAACTTCAGACGGGCCTGGACATGCACTGGCTTCAGCAGCGGAACACGTCTGGCACTGCGGGATTTGATTCCCTGCCGTTGTAGTGTGTTACTGATGGTGACCTTTGTTACTTTGGTCCCAGCTCTCTGCAGGTCATTCACCAGGTCCCCCCGTGTGGTTCTGGGATCTTTGCTCACCGTTCTCATGATCATTTTGACCCCACGGGATGAGATCTTGCGTGGAGCCCCAGATCGAGGGAGATTATCAGTGGTCTTGTATGTCTTCCATTTTCTGATGATTGCTCCCACAGTTGATTTTTTCACACCAAGCTGCTTGCCTATTGTAGATTCACTCTTCCCAGTCTGGTGCAGGTCTACAATACTTTTCCTGGTGTCCTTCGAAAGCTCTTTGGTCTTGGCCATGGCGGAGTTTGGAGTCTGACTGTTTGAGGCTGTGGACAGGTGTCTTTTATACAGATGATGAGTTCAAACAGGTGCCATTCATACAGGTAACGAGTGGGGGACAGAAAAGCTTCTTACAGAAGACGTTACAGGTCTGTGAGAGCCAGAGATTTTCCTTGTTTGAGGTGACCAAATACTTATTTTCCACCCTGATTTACGAATAAATTCTTTACAAATCCTACCATGTGGATTCATGGATTTTTTTTTCACATTCTGTCTCTCACAGTTGAAGTGTACCTCTGGTGCAAATTACTGACCTCTGTCATCATTTTAAGTGGGGGAACTTGCACAATCGGTGGCTGACTAAATACTTTTTTGAGTTAGATTTAAAACCGTTGTAATTGATTACAATGAATGTTCTCATAAGAAGAATTATTTGAATTTAGTTACTATTGTCTTGTTGAAACACAGGTCGCATATTTGTGGAAACAACAGGAAACGGAAGTTGTTGTTTCTGTGGTCCCATCTCAGATTAGAGGTAACAACTTTGTCATACGTCACAGTGAGTTCCTGACCCTTAGACCACACAGCTGGCTTGTTGGAGAGGTATGTAAACTAGTTATTTAAAAAAAAAAAAGTACTGCATAAGGTTAACGTTAAAGCTGGGGCAGAACATTAGTTGTTCCCTACACATTCAGTAAGTACTACTTTAGATCGACATTCCAGGCATATCCTCATGACTGAATACTGAGTATACGTAAGTAAAAAAATCTTTATTAACCTTTGTATTCCAAAACTTTATCATGTTTACAAAGTAATAAAAGGTTATTTATTAAACTCCTCAGGTCATTGAAAGTCTCCTGCACCACTGGGTCATTCGGCTAAATCTGGGGAATAATATCTACATTATGAACCACTACACGAGCGGTGTGATCCTCTATGGAGAGAGAACTAATCAGGAGACAAAGCTTGTCCAAGGTAAAAAAATTTTTTTATATATTCTAGAATTAATTTTTTAAAAGTTAATTAATGTCTCAAAATGGAAAAGGTATTGTTGCAAATTTGTAATTAATTCCTAATATGTCACAGGTGAACTTTGACAACTACAGAGCCGTTTTATCCTTTGTGAACATTGGAAATATACACTGGAAGTTTCTGGTTAGTATGAGCAGCATTTCTGTGAAAACAGTTTGTTTCAATAACACATTATTGAAAATTTATGTACTTTTTAAATTTATATATCTATCGCAGTACATAAATGCAGATGACAGCTGTCTGTATTTGGTCGATCCTTCAAGAAACTCTTTGGAGCAGGAAGAGTCTGACCGTGCAGCCAAAAGATTCCGGTAATTATGCGTCATTACATGTATATAATAACATGAAGTATTAGAAAAGTGACAGGAGGACTTAGGAGGTCTTTTTCTAAAGGTGAACGCATGGTTGTAGATTAAAGTTTAATAAAATCTGTGGTTATCAGTTCTTTAAAGAATTTTAAAAAATAATTCAAAATTACTCACATATGTAATTTTAAATAATAAAAAAAACACTGACAGTGTTTAAGCAGTGATACATTTGAGACAGTTAACATTTGTAGATTTAAAAGAACATGTTAATAAGTTTGATACTTCATCTAACATAATGTAGAGCACAGGGCTTTCTGACACATTAAAAACAGTGATTTGTACTATATGTGTCTTTTTCTGTGTGACTTTTATCTTTCATTATTATATAAATGTGATATATGTTATGTTCACAAAGTGAATACTTCAAAATGAGGAGGACATGCTACAACAAAACAGACTGGGTGAATGTGAGACTTCGAGGAGGAGTACTGACACATCCATTTCAACGGGATGGTTTTAGCTGCGGAGTAATGGTCATCATGGTATGGCACCACATTAACGCAATAATATTTTTCTGTGAAATTAGATAAGAAGATGGGGTGGGGGAAGTTAAAATAATCTTAAAAGGTTAAATTGTGTAAACAGGAAGTGTTTGCAGATGTTTTCAATTAATTGTTTTTGGGTTTTTTTTATTTCAGATGGTCAAAGTAGTAATGGAAGCATTCCCAAATAAACCAGAAATGACATTTTTGACGACAAAAAACGAGATGGCCCAGGCACGAAGGACATTTGCACAGACAATACTTGAGGCCTCCGGTGTGTAATACCTTCTTCAAATGGACATATTTATTTGTGTCAAACTGATGAACACTAACAAATATATATATATATATATATATATATATATATATATATATATATTTTAGTATTTGACAGTGACAACAACTGTGCCATGTGTGCAACGGTGAAACCACCTAATCCAGGACCCTCCATCACTGACTGGGTATAGTATTTTTTTAAATAGTTTTATGTTATCTACAACAAAGTATTTGACTCTGTGTCTTTAAGGATTGTAATTGATTAAAACATAGAATTATTTACGTAATGTGTTTATGAAAGTTCATGTTTTTGTTTACAGATCCAGTGTGATAACTGCAACCGCTGGTTCCATTCTGAAGGCCTGGACATGACAAATGAACAGCTCAGCAGTGCTCAGAAGACAGAGTGGAAGTGTGTGCTTTGTGTAACCTAATTCCACACGCAGTGAAAGCTACTTGAATAATCTGCTTAGAGTTGTTATTGGTGTTTTGAGGAACACATGTGTAAAACACAATGTGTATAACATTCTTGCTTTGTGCTCGTACTTCAAGTATTTCCTTTTTGATTTTTTGGACTGATTTGTGTGATGACAGATAATGAATAACAATATATCTAAACTGTGTAGTAGTAATATGAGAAATCAGTAATCTGAGAAATGTAATTTCTCACCCTGACCGGTTGAGGCAGATGGCCCCGCCCCTCCCTGAGCCTGGTTCTGCCGGTGGTTTCTTGCTGTTAAAAGGGAGTTTTTCCTTCCCACTGTTGCTCATAGGGGGTCATATGATGTATTATTGTAAGGTTTAACTTATTATGTAAGTGCCTTAAGGTGACTATTGTTGTGATTAAGCACTGAATAAATAATGTCTAAAACTAAAGTTGCTACTTGAGGTGGTGTGTGAATGACATTTTGAAAAATTTAAATTGTGTGTGGAAAGAAATTTCTTGTAGTTACGCAAATACTTCAATGAACTCATTTTGTTTGGTAATGGAATAGGATTTAATTTTATCAGAAATCCATACAGTAATTGTTGCTGTGGATCACAGGGTGCAGAGTGGGGGTCACCCAGAGTCAGAATCCAGTGAGATATCTGTGTCACCTCTTATAGTTTTCCTGCAATCTGAGCTCAAAGATGAAAATATATAGAGTACAGTAGAGTAAATTGGGTAAATTCTGCTATCAATTTTCTCAAAAACCGTACAGTAATTGTTGCTGTGGATCACAGGGTGAAGAGTGGGGATGGCCTTGATTCAGAATCCAGTGAAATATCTGCGTCACCTCTTACAGTTTTCCTGTAATCTGAGGTCAAAGACGAGGACAATAAAAGTACAGTTGAGTAAATTGCGTAAATTTTATTGTTAATTTTCTCTGAATCATACAGTAATTTGGGCTGTGGATCACAGGGGGGAAAGTGGAGATACACTAAAACTGGGAGTGGATTGTGAAGTAAAATAGTGTCAGGACACAAAACACTGCGTTTCTAAGCCAGTCTTCACTCATACCGTAATATACGTAAGAGTAGTGCAACCACATTCTCGGTGCGGCTGGCGGAGCGGCTAGCTTGACTGTGACTTCGTAAGTGAGGGCTCACTTGACCGCAGTAACAGGAGAGAGAGGAGAAGAGGCATCTGTGCAGCGTAAACACAGAATAAATCCAGCTTTGTGTCTTTTTCATTGTAGCTGAAGTCCGGTGTTCTGGGAATCCATCCTACCTGGCCTGGGACAAACTGTTCCTTCTCAGCTCAACACAAAACGAGTAATATTTTCTCTGAATGTGGGACGATTCCGTTTTGTACAGGACGGTTGGCAACTCTACTAACTGACCTTATGAATAAAATAAAGTTCACTATCAGTGACATCATAGCACCACCCAGCTGTATAGAAACTCCGTCATGCTAGCTCACGCAGTACGAGTTATTGTAACTGACGGTAAAAAGTCAGCACAACTAAAATAAACTCCACCTAAACTTGGTTTATATCTGACCCAGATAGACTGCAGGTCATAACTTCTTACCCGAAGTTCAGTTCACCTGACACTCGGACTGGCGGCCGCCTCGGGTCTCTCCTCCTCCTCCTGCCTCCCCTTCCCTCATCCACCTGTTGCCTCAGTGGAAGCTCCGCCATAGCCACCACCAAACAACTGAGTTATTGTTACACATCGACCAGCATCTGGCCAATCCACCACCTCTCACTGTTTATACCGTTACAAAAATAAAATAAAATAAAAAAATCATTGACCCATAAAAACGAAAAATCACAGTCCAGCTATGGTCGTGCCATCAGTTAACCCTTTGTGTGCCAGCTGCAGCGTGCCCGGGGTTGCCTACCCCTGATATTACCATATTGTGTGTGTATAACCTCTTTTTAAGTTTTGTGGATATGATACATGGTTATGCTGAGGACATGTCGGCCAGTTTCCACTGGAAATGCCTTTTGGTTAAACTGTCAGCGAGGAGTTTGCATTTGCACTGTTATGTTTTTATATAACTTTAATGCAGATAAAAAACAGCTGCTTGTTTAAGTGAAAATACACTGATGTTTTTTTTTGCACTAATAAAGTTGTGGCGTTGTAAAGTATTTTGTCTCGTGTCAGTTATATCGTTATCGCAAATTTTCAAATGTATATCGTGATAAATATTTTTGGCCATGTCCCCCTGCTCTAACCTGGACCATTGCCATCTTCCTGTTTCAGGTAAAGCAGGCCCATCACAGAGCCCTGGCATCCCCGCCCACCGCCTGTTTGACCCGATGCACCTGAGGTCAGTCAGGTCCACACCTCCAGACTCACTAACAGCTTCCTCCCCTGGGCCATCAGACTGCTAACAAACCCCACCCCTCTCCACCCACCCACGAATCATCACTCAGGCCACTCAGACTCTATTCGCCTCCAAGTACAACTATTTTGTTTCCTCCTTGATTGTATATATTTACACTGTATGTCATTTATTCCTGCTGTCTGCTATTTCTGTTTTATTCTGGCACAGTTGGCGCAGAGAACCTGGACGATGAACTAAAAAGTTACACTGAGCCTCAGAATAAGATGGTTTATTTTGAACAAGGACTTATGCAAAGCTGCTCTAGCAGAGTCTGAACTAAGAAAGCTAAAGAATTTGTGTCCAAGTACACTTTTAAAAAGCCAGTAAAGCCTCAATTAGTTTCAAACTGTGAATCATGCAAAGCTGCTCCAGACTCCAAGCATGAAAAACTGGCACTGAGCATGAGCAGAAAGGGTTTCTTTAAATAAAACATTCAAATTTGGGTTACGTTATCTGTCTTTAATGAAATGAAGAATAGAATTCATCCAAACTTGAGGACGGCTGCTGGAGCCTGGATGTTAGTCTGTGCGCTGGTGTTACTTTAATCCTAAAAGCAGAGGCCTGTGGGCCCCGTTCATGTAGGTGTTGCTCTGTAATTAGCAGCTGGTGTCTCTGCGTTATAATCCCGATTTGTAATCCGTCTGTTCGGCCTGTTTTTTTCCGTCTTTGACCTGAACTCAGAAAAAGACGACTTTAACCACCGAGCTGTTATTCCGACATCGTCTCCATCTGCTATTCAGAGCTGTTCCCAACATGAGCGGTATTATCACACGCCGTCCATTAAGATGTCTTTAAATGACAAAGCAGCAGTTTTCCTCAGGGTGTTTCCGTGTGTGTGTGCGCACGCTCGGCTACTGTACTCCCACATTATAATAACATAATCCCAGAGATTTGGCCTGACAGCGAGACAGTATGCTGCCGATTTTAACTGACAGCGGGGAATTATCATCATCACACACTTCACAGACGGCGAGACATGTGTTATTACTGCTGCCGTGAGCGTCAACGTTTGGCCCGCGGACCTTCACCCGGACACTGGAAGCTCGACTCTCTAATCTCCACCAGTAAACCTTCTACATATATACAGCACACGATTTTCTGCTGCACGGCCCTCGTCTCTTAGCCCCTCCCCTCCACCCTTTGAGACCTATTTGATTTAGGAGTAACAACATCAGGCAAGTCAAATGCTTTTCTTACAAAGGGGATGTATACTGCTGCTCCGACATTCCACTTTCTTTTAGAAATGTTGCTCAGATATTGGCTGAAACTCAGCAGGACCAAATCCTCGATGATGAGTGAATGGAGCTAAAATGATTTCCTGTTTTAAAACACCAAAGCCTGCATTTTATTGCAGTTATCATCCATGGAAAATTACATTTATGTCCTTTAGTTTTCCCTCAGAGTGAACCGATTGGATCCTACTGGATAGTGTAGTAGTAAGACTACATGCCTTTGGAGTGGGAGTTGCAAGTTCAATTCCAGCTGTGTGGAGGAGGGGACCACTCTCACGGCTAGAGATTGATGAGGGACATCACGCTACGGCAAGGAGGAGCCAGGACGGCAGGTCAGGGGGGAGACGCCATCACCCCCACCCTGAGAATGGGTATCAAGCCCCAAATGATAGGATCATGAACTAGCCTGTTTCCTGTTGTGTGATGGTATCAGGTCCTGCAAGCCCTCACCTGTTGTGTAGGTACCTGATGAGTTTATATAAAACACATTCATTCTGCTTCTGTTGTTCATGAACAAACATTATTTTATGATCTGCATTCTTGCTTCATCCTGCGTCTTTGATGTGTGTTGTTCCTGGATTTCAGCCACTATGAGGCCCTTCTGTGTAACTGAGGGAACGTGACAGTTAAACTTTGCCCAACTTCATTAACTAGAACTAAAATGAATATGCTAAATGGCTACTGACAGCATGGACTGCTTTCACTCTACTTGCACAAACATGATGCTTTATTTAAAATGAAGATGTTGCAGAGGTCGCCGAGTCCTTTATAAAGTTTTGAGCCACCTGTGCGACACCAGCGTCCGGCATACGGACGTCCTGGACCGTCCGCAGGAAGCAGCAGCCGCCTGCTGCCAGATAATACACGCAGATCTACTTTAATACAAAGAAATCTCGTATTATTCCACCCGTTACGTAAAAGGATGAGATTATCGATATGCAGATTAACGAGCGCCCAATCATATTTCAGCATATCGCCCCGCCCTCCCCTCAAACCATAGGAGCCTTCAGGCGTGCAGATAAAAATAGAAACCTGCAGTTTAGTTGTTAGATTTTAGTCTTTATTGTACTATTTCTTTTCTTGACAATTTGCTAGCGGACATGTGAAAACTTGGACCAACAAAACATCATTATTATTATTTTAATTACAGCATAATCGTCGGTAATAGTGAGAAGATGTTTTTAAAAAATAAAAACAAAAGAAGAATTGAAACCAAACGGGAACAAAACAAACAAAAAGAAACAGTTTGACTTTAATATTCAATGATGGATTTTTTTTTTTTTTTTTTTTCCTTTGTTTTAAATTCATGTACACAATATAACAGTCTAAAAACATTAAACACACAGAGCTGAAGACATTGCAGTGTTGGTGGGGAAGTGGCAGTCCTTGGGGCGGTTTATATATGGAA